CTCACAAGCTTCAGCAAGTCATCGTTTGTTACTAGAACTCTGAAATAAATATGAATATGATATTAATTGATAGATACAGAATTTGTTAAAACTGATGAAAGAGATGGATTCACCATCAAGAACAGAGCCATGTGACATCCTTTACCCTAACCTCCACCCAGAACAGAGCCATGACATCCTTACCCAACCTACCTTACCCAGAACAGACATGTGACATCTTTACCCCAAACCTACCTCACCCAGAACAGAGCCATGACATCTCCTTACCCCTAACCTACCTCACCCAGAACAGAGCCATGTGACATCCCTTACCCTAACTCACTCACACAGAACAGACATGTGACATCCTTTACCAAACCCACCACCCAGAACAGACATGTGACATCTTACCCTAACCTACCTCACCCAGAACAGCCATGACATCCTTACCCCAACCTACCTCCCAAACAGACATGACATCCCCCCTAACCTACCTCACCCAGAACAGCCATGTGACATCCTTACCCTAACCTACCTCACCCAGAACAGACATGTGACATCCTTACCCCTAACCCACCACCCAGAACAGAGCCATGTGACATCCTTTACCCCTAACCTACCTCATCAAGTACAGAGCCATGTGACATCCTTTACCCCTAACCTACCTCACCCAGAACAGACATGTGACATCCTTTACCCCTAACCTACCTCACCCAGAACAGAGCCATGTGACATCCTTTACCCCAAACCTACCTCACCCAGAACAGACATGTGACATCCTTTACCCCTAACCTACCTCACCCAGAACAGAGCCATGTGACATCCTTTACCCCAAACCTACCTCACCCAGAACAGACATGTGACATCCTTTACCCCTAACCTACCTCACCCAGAACAGAGCCATGTGACATCCTTTACCCCAAACCTACCTCACCCAGAACAGACATGTGACATCCTTTACCCCTAACCTACCTCACCCAGAACAGAGCCATGTGACATCCTTTACCCCTAACCTACCTTACCCAGAACAGAGCCATATGATAACCTTTACCTCACCCATCCAATGCCTCACATTCCAAGGGTTGATGCCATCATTGCAAGATATAAATGTGTTCATTTATTTAGATAAATATAGTACAGTGGTCCCTCGGTTAACGAACGCCTCGGTTAACGAAATTTTGGTTAACAAATTACCTTCCATAAGAATCTTCAATTCGGTTAACGAAATCCTTACAAAAATCAGATTTTGTTTTGAACATCAGCTGATAAGCTGAGGAGGCACTCAGCCAATTCAGTGATCTCTTCTATGTTTACATTCAAATTAATTGCTATCTTATAAGAATTCCAGCAATGCAAATTAAATTCACCCCGGTCACTTCTATTAAATTTTATAAGCAAAAAACAAAAACTCAACCTAAAGGACATAAATTAACAATTAAATATTTCACACCACAGGAGCCAACTGTCAAACATGTCACTGTCACCCCTAACTCCCTCCCTCCCTCCCTACCCCCCCACATTCCTGAGAAACATTTTGGGAAAAGGACTAGGTTTACAGGTTGAAAAATAAATAATACCTCAGACTAAAGTAGGATAATATAATTTGCATTGCTGAAATCCTTGCAAGACAGGGAATAATTTGAATATAAACGTCATATATTTTGCACAAGAGATAAAATTAATCACCTGTATCACATTACAGTAGTGATTTAAGAGTTCTAGTGTATATGTACGATATATATAGTGATTTAAGGGCGATTTAGGGGAATTTTAGGAGTGTTTCTGACTTTATGCATTTTTGGCTTTACTTTGTATATACTTTTCTGTGAGCTGGAACCAATTACCCAATATCCCAATGAAACAATGGTTTCGGTTAACGAAATTTTTGGTTAACGAACGACCTTCTGGAACGAATTGTGTTCGTTAACCGAGTACTCAAAACCTATAGTGTAACTGTATTTACCAGTACCCAATTGAAGCATTCTTATGTCACCCCTAGGTAAGTATAACAATTTAAAGGAACACATATCAATTTATAATGGTATAATGACCTCCTTTAGTGCTCTCTTCTTAGGATCACATCTGGAGTGCTAAGCAAGATATTAATATACTATGTGAAAGATACAGAATGAGAGGATCAACAATGGGATCAGACTACTGTACTACCTGTGGTTTTCAAAACTTAACCTCTTACCACAGTAACTTACTCGGTCCATCATAGGAGACCCAGAGTGGCCGGCAGTAATGTTTGTGGTACATCAGAATTAACCAGGACATTAAAGGAGAAGAGCAAGGTTTACTGTATCTTTTTTGGCATTTACACAGTGTCTAATATAAGATTTGGTAGCAATATTAGCTCTGCCCACTCTAGGCCCAGCCAATGACATCTTGGCCTCCTGTGGGTTCTGCCATTGTTCCACTGAAATTTTCCATTGTCCTCAGATGTATTAGGGTATTTTGTGTGAAGTCTCACAATTTTAAGGTAAAAATGGCAGAATCACAGGATATTAGAGGCAATCTGAGTAGTGAATAATATATCCCAACCATGAAAATCTTGAGTGATTCTTTGTTGGAGGATAGCATAGCAAGTGAGGATTTCAGTCACTTAGAAGACCGTAAAGTTAGAGTACGTCCCAGCAAGAAACACCAGGGGGATAAATGGACGAGTTGACGGTTCTAGGTAAACACAAGAAATACACTCTGCCACGTACATAGAGTGATACGGTAAATAAAATTTTTAATAAAAGTTTAAAGTCCTGCTATAATAGTCGAGATAAGTTTATTTCTCTAGAAACAGGGCCGCCATTTGCAATGACATCACTAGTTTCAAACTCATCGCTGCAGTCAGAGGTAGTAGAAATGATGACCTCTTCAGACCCCAAATGCCACATTCAGGTAAGTTTTAAGGGTGTTTTTTTTATGGTCTAAGTCATGGACATTTCGTAACTTAAGAAATATGCTGAGAAGAGCAGCTTATGACATAAAAACACCTCATATGTTCACACCAGCTCAGCTGTAATGTATTCTTACCTGGTAGACTTTCTCTTTTTTTTCAGTGCACTTACTGAGTACCGTATATACTCGTCTATAACCCTCCCTCGTTTATAGGTCGACCCTGATTTTTTACCAAGAAATCGTTAATTTATGATATTCCTTGTTTATAGGTCGACCCAAGTTTTTGAGGGTAATGGAACAAGAAAACCTACAGTAAAAACACTCTACGTCCTATAAACAGAGGCTTGCCATGCCTGAAACACCGAGTGCCGAAGGCAAATTGTTTACCATTTATTATTACGACACTTTACACTGAAACACGGGTAGTTTCAACAAAAATATTGTATATTTCCATTCAAGTATTTATTCAAGTCAATTAGGAAGGAATATTATTGTAATACAACAGTATTTTAACTGAAAACCATTCGAAAAGCGACTACGGTAACATCTTTTGAACGAAAGAAAGCGAAAGTCATTGTTTTCGTCACGATTTTATCCCACTTTCCACTGTAATACGTACGTCATTTCAGCAAAAATATTACATTTCCGTGAATGTATTATATCAAGCACAGTATGAATAGAATATCACTAATATAACAGTATTTTAACCGAAAACTATTAAAACAACGAGTAACATCTCTTGAATATCGGAAGGTTAGGTAAAGTCTTTTGTTTTCGTCATGTAGTTTATCCTAATTTACATTGAAATACATCACGTTTCAGCAAAACTACTATTTGTTTCTGAGAATATGGAAATGTAATATTTTTGCTGAAATGACATACGTATTACAGTGGAAAGTGGGATAAAATCGTGACGAAAACAATGACTTTCACTTTCTTTCGTTCAAAAGATGTTACCGTAATCGCTTTTCGAATGGTTTTCAGTTAAAAAACTGTTGTATTACAATAATATTCTATCCTAATTCACCTGTGACGTAACAGTTTTTTTAACTGAAAACGATTCGAAAAACACGTGTACCGTCGAGCTGTTACGGCAGAGCCCTGGTCGTGGAGGCTTTGTTTTTGCATCGGCCCTTCTTAAGCAGCCTTTAATTTTAGCATGCAAGGGATCTGCCCTGGCAACTGTACCGGCACTCACAGCTGGTGGTGCGTCGTTTCCATTGTTTACTGGTAGTTACTGGTAAATATTTTTCAACCTAACGAAACTATTACCCGTTTAAAGGTCGACCCCCAATTTTTTGCCAAAAAATTTGATCTTAAAACTCGAACTACACACGGGTATATACAGCATATCAGTACTAGATGGAGATACGAGTAAATTTAGAAGTATAATGATATTGTCTGGACTTTGTTTTGAGAATGCCTGGTGCTAGTTCACATGACAATATAGTGCTGTTATTGTTTTGATGATTCACTGATGAACCACTGGGATATATCATCATTTATATTAATTAATAGGTAAAATTTTACTATAAACTACCATAAGTATTTTGCTGTTTAGATTCGAGATAAGTTATACACTGTACAGTATTGGGTAAATTTTAAATTTTGGTCATCCCTGTATTTAGACATGTAGACTTGTTTTTTTTTTCTTATGGTCTGCGATGTGTTATGAATGATTTAGACCTTCATTTCTATTGGAAATCACTAGTTTTGTGTTACTACCCCGCCTTACCGATGTATGTTAAACTAACCTTATAACTCATCATACCCTAACCTAACTTAATCTAACATATGATCTGCATTTTCTTATGCGATCGAAAAATGTTTTGCGACAGAATCCTGTAGAGATAATTTGTCTCATTGTCTAAAGTACTTAATCCCATAGTTACAATCTTAAGGTTCCCCAGATGACCAAAACCAAAATAATACCAATATTCTTTGGGATGTTTATACTATGAAATTTGTAGTATGGGCAGCAAATATCCATTGAATTAGTTTATGTGCTTATTAATATTTATATATTCAATATAGCATTACTGTGTTGTACAGTAAAGCACAATTAATTATCTAATAATATTTATTTACAGAGCCGATCAGCCGAGAAGGTTGGACAACTACAGCTGGCTGCCTCCTGCTGGGAAGCTCGCACCAACCAGTGACGTCACAACCAATCACAGAGCTTTTAGCAGTCATGTGACTTTTAATCAACTTTAACTCTTATTTTGGAACTTTTTGGCCCAATTTATTTTAAAATATCATTACCATAGTGAATTTAAGCATTTTATTTACCCACTGACCTGCCATCTAATGAAAAAATTCCAACCGTCAACTCGTCCATTATCATCAGGTGCTGGTTTTTCCCAGGCACCGACTCACAAATACTGTACAGTGTAATATCAGGTTTCTCCTCAAAATTTTCTGTGGTACAAGGAAGTTTTCCATGGAAATTAAATTAAATGGTAGTTTCTTGTTTGTAGATTTACAGTATTTTATTAAGGTGGTGTATTGACTGTATGGAGAAAATTCTGAACAAGTTCATTGTTATATCAACGCATTTTACAGTCATACCTCCATTATCAATACATGATGATGAGACCTAAAGCTAAATGATGTATAAAATTTACAACACTAATACATTCTTACCTAAAGAACTGCATTGCAGTTTGTCGACCATTTGAAACTTCACACTCGGCAGGTGCTGAAGAGCAGTCACGGGGGAAAATGATGGAGAAAACTTCCTGGCCAGATATTATGGAGCTCCCCAAAATGACATTGACTGCCATTACATTACCATCATTCAACTCGGTGCGCAGTGTCTGAAAAACACATGTTGTAAAAGTGAATTTCTTGTTTTGCAATCATCTTCTGCTCTTTATTTATCAAATATTAAATTGGTAGAAAATCACCAAAATGTGGTTGAAAAATCAGATACAGAAAGGTGATTTCTGTTAAACTATTAAGGTGGAGAAAAATTTGTACAGACGAAAATATTTACCTGCATTACGGTATTGAAAACTTCCAAAAAATTATTGACCTTAGTCAGCCACCGTTGTCTCTTGCTATGCAGTGTACGTCTAGCAATTTCTTCTTTTCTGCTGTAAACCTGGAAAATCAAAGCATATTGTAGACTAACTGCCATATTATAAAAAGGTGAGGGTCCTTCACTTGAGGCCGCTTAATCTTACCCTAAGGAGAAAGATTCAGTGTCTACGCTATTATAAAATGCCAGATCTCAACCTCTCAACTACCAACTGGTGACTATGTGGGTCACTGTTTAGGCTGGTGATGGTGCCCCTGCCTCAGTGACTGTCTTCAAACTGGCAAAATTGGACTTGTAATCAGCCTCCTGAAAGTGTTCTACTGAATATTGCTGTTTTGATAATTAATTATACCAGTTATTTATATGTTATTCCTTTGCACATTAACAAAAAATAAGTTAGGCGATTTAAAAGAATGCAGAAAATATAATTGTGACTATGAAAGTCACACCCAACACATCCAAATGCCAGCAGTTTGTTTACGGCCACAGCTGACTGCTGAGATCAGGCAAGGATGTCCTGTTCACCTTATTTTACTCAAGATGCGAGTCACTGTCTCCTTGAACGTGTCAAGGTGAGAAAAGGGATAATTTTCAACAAAGTGATGGAGGGCTGGATAATCCCAGTGAAAGCAAGAACATTACAGGACATCACCCATGCCTTGACTGCTGCAAAATTGGGGCCAAGCAAAACAGTCAAGTGAAAATTATTTGGGAAAATATGAAGAACTGGTGAGTTTCACAGGAGATTAAAGATTTTAAGTGCAAAAGCTTACCATTAGTTGAAGAAATATAGAGGCAAAGATTAAGATTATAATGGTTAGAAGTGTGTTTCACCCACAATTTCCCTTGAGGTGTAAGCACTGTCGTCTTTGTCAGGAATTTCACATTCTTGGAGGAAAGGTTTAGTTTAATAAACCAGACCTAACCTAACTTAATCAATGTATTACCGAGTAACTAACCAAACCTATCCTAACATAATATAACCTTACATAACCTAATTCGGAGTACAGGTTGTACCTCTCTAGTCCGTCAACCTCGGGACCTGACCGGTGCCGGACCATGGAAATTCACCCTTTTCCTGGATAGATAGTGACTTGTGCTTATGCCTGGAAGCACTAGCACCACTTTCTCTGCATCATGGTCTCTTTGAAGACATATTGAAGGGTTAAATGTCGTATAGTAGCTTCTCAAATTTCGCGAGTTTAAAATTCAACGTATTTTATTGGAACACAAAAAACAAATAAATAAAAATTTTGACGGCGGAAACTTGAATTTCGACGGGTTTGAACGGCCCGCCAACGTGCAGACGACGTACATAATTGTGTAAACAGCGTCATTTCTCTTAGGTACAAAAGATTCATTATTGTTTATAACTGAATGTCTTTTTTATTGAATTAATGTTTATGTGTGCAAAATGAGCAATACAATTCATTAATAATACGTAGAATATTAAAACACACGAGGAAATGACACAGCATTGTTTTTGTTGATTACAAAACCAGTGACTGACTGGTTCTACATATAAAGCTGAAGAAAATAAGACCCTGGTTGTAGCTGTAGTAAAATTAATATGGTTGTTTTAAGTATTGTTATTTAATGTTCATAAATGGAACAATAGAAGTAGCTAACGATAATGGTAAAGAAAAAAGAGAGATCGCGTATGTAAGTGCACACACGTGAAAACATATCGTCATTACTTTACATAAGAATATGAAAGCAACACTTATTTACTGTTCATATATATTTTAATTAATGTTTCTGAATTTGTTTTTATTTAATTAATGTTTGTGTGTGCAAAATTAACAATACAATTTATTAATAATACGTGGAATATTAAAACACACAAGGAGACGAGACGGCTGCCGGCATTGTTCATGTTAAAGCTTACAAAACCAGTGACTGATTGGTTCTACATATAAAACTGAAGAAAATAAGATCCTGATTGTAGCTGTAGTAAAATTAATGTTATTTAATGTTAATAAATGGAACAATATAAGTAGCTAACCATTACCATTAATGGTAAAAAAAAAGTGAGTGCGCATATGTAAGCGCGCACATGTGAAAACATATCGTCATTACTCTACATAAGAATATGAAAGCAACACTTATTAACTGCTCATATATATATATATTGAAGAGTTAAATGTTGTACTCTGTATAGACAAGCACAGAGAGAGAGAGAGAGAGAGAGAGAGAGAGAGAGCTGCGAAATTGTTGTCAGCTGGAGGGTTGGTGATGACTTCTGCAACTTGTGTGGCGACTTCTGTGGGCAGGGAACAGACCAGGGCGATGTACTTCTGTTTGTCTGTAGCTGTAGAGCCGATGAGAGCTGCCTCCATGTGGATTAGCCAGTCTTCACTGTTGTGATTGAAGACTGGGAGAGTGATCCATTTCTCCTCCATCCTGTGTGAGAGCGTCAATCCGGGGTCACCATTTGTTGTGTTAAAGTTATGTTGTCTCGCACTCAAGATGGGTTGGAGAAAGGAAACTCTTAATGGTGGTTTTCTTATATAAATATATTGTATGTACAGTCAACCCTCGCTTTACGCGGTCCCACTTTCCGCGTTTCCACGTTTACGCGGTACCCTGCCGAAACCGGAATGCTCACATTCCGCGGTGCGTGTACCCCTTTACGCGGAGAGTGTCAGGCTCAATGCTATTTTTAGATTCGCCCCTCCCGCCTGCTCCCGCCTCAGCAAGCTGCGCGGCAAGGTTGCGCAGTGCATGTCTCTGTTGCGTGATCAGTGACGTCATATGACGCATCGGACTGTGGTTGGCCATGCATCCCGACCTCCCTCCGCTGCCCTAAGCCAAAGAAGACACGACGTTTCTTAAGCTACGAAATTAAATATAAGATGATTCAAGAGTTGGAGAAAGGAACAAGACAGGTTGATCTCGCGCACCAGCATGGTGTTAACGAGTCTACGTGAGATTATGGAGGAAGGACAGTACAGTGACGACCAGGTGTTTAACATGGACGAATGTGGTCTTTTCTGGAAAAAGCTACCTTCCAAGACCTTCGTTGTGAAGAATGCCAGCAAGATTCGGGGCCGGAAGTTGCAGAAGGAGCGCATCACCACCCTGTTTACCACCAATGCCTCCGGTACCTGTAAGCCCAAGTTATCGGTGATCCACACAGCACGCAAGCCGCACGCCTACAAGAGCATGGACATGACCAAGCTAAATGTCCACTGGCTGACCGCACGTAAGGCGTGGATGTTCTCTACACTGTCCCTCTCCTGGTTTGATGACTGTTTCGTTCCCGATGTGAAGAAATTCTGTGAGCAACAGAATGTGCCATTCAAGATTTTGTTGCTGCTGGACAACGCACCAGGACACTCGCTCCTACTGTTAGATCGTCACCCCAACGTAAAAGTGGTCTTCCTTCCTCCCAACACTACGTCTATATTACAGCCCATGGACCAAGAGTTAATCTGTAATGTAAAAGTTGCATTCTCTACTAAAAAATTCAAGCTCCTGAACGACTACACCAACACCAGGGAAGAGTTGCGTAACCTGAGTGACCACCACCGATAGCAAGAGCGAAGACGACGAGGATCAACAGTTGGCAGAGCAACAAGTACTTTTAAAACAATTCTGGAGAATATTCAACATCAAGAAAGCTGTGGACTTCTTGGTGGAGGCATGGGATCAGCTGTCTGTAGCAACTGTTCGTCACGCATGGAGACATGTGTTGCACGGCATTCCGGCCATTAGGCAGAGTCAATCTGTGACTGGTGAGGTTCAGACTGTTGCAGTAGCAGTGGACCTTGCCAGAGAAGCTGCGCAGAGTGTTACAGCTGCAGGCTTCTCCGAGACCACCAACGACGACATCCTGGAGGTGATAAGGGATCCTGATGTGACTACCGACGAGATGGTAAATGATGATGACGTCAGTGAAGAGGCAGGTGGTGTGTCATCCCAAGAAGAACACCGCTTATCCCATAGTAATGTTAGGGGTGCCATCGAGTGTATCGAGAAAGTCAAGCTCCTCCTTTCCGACGACCCTGACGCAAACAGGTATGAAATCTTCACTACCCAGCTGTTGCAGACTATGGAGCCCTACATCAAGGTTTATCACAACAACATAAACACCAGCCGTCAGCAAAGCATAACAGAGTTCTTCGCCCGCAACCCACCACAGCCAGCCCAAGCCAGTGATAGTGACAGAGGTAGAGACAGTGATGATGACTTTGAGGGATTTGTCAGGGAGGCCCTGACAAGTGTGGATGACAGTGATGGTGACTCACCTGAGGGCCAGTAGCCTGCCCTCTGCCTCGGAACCAGCCTCCATTCCCGTACGCCGACCCATCTCTTCTATTACGTAAGTGTTAACCCCAACCTTTATTTTTCCTAACTTAGCCTTTATTTTTCCTAACCTAACCTCTTCTATATTAATTGTGTGTGCTTACCATCATAAAGTTAAGATAATATTTTTACTACAACATAGTTGTGTGTCGTCAAAAAGTGGAGTTTGGGGGTCGGCCCGGTCTCTATTTCAATTAATCCCATGTTATGTTGTTCACTTTACGCGGGCCGCCGTGGGTTGAATTAACCGCGTAAAATGAGAGTTGACTGTACAGTATAGTCTTCACTTACGCGGTCAATTAAACCCGTGGAGGTCCGCGTAAAACGAGAAAAGCTTAAATGAAATAACAGAACATATGGGATTACAGGTAGTTCTGCTATAACGCGATAATTGTGTTCTTGTAAAATATCGTGTTATAGAAAATCGCGTAATAGAAATAACAGGGCTTATGGAGAAAATAGGGTTAGGTGCAGATTACTCGAAATCGAAAAAATTTAGTAGTTAGCCTAACACAAAGGATAGAACAGTCTAAATGAGTGTTACATTCATATCTAATAATGAAATCATACAGTAAATGTAACACTTTACTTGATGGGGGAGAAGGGTGATTTTGAGGTTGATAAAATCAAGCGTCTCTTCAAGTGTTATATCCTTTCTTTTACGATCATCACCGGGAATTCTATCACCAGAATGCTTCTTGTTGATATTCTTCTTTACCATATTCACAGATAATACCACAAAATTGGAGAAATAG